CAAGCAACTCATGCATCAATGAAACACAATTGTATCATCATAACAATTGTAGTATATTATCATGCATTCGGAATACTGTAAAATCACGCAATCAATTAAACATAATAAACAGTAATAAGTAACCGGTTCCACCTCCACTAGTACGCTGTAATTAATTATGAATATGTTCTAAATTATACAAAATACTGTATTGTTATTAATTAAACTTCAATTCCATAATAGGAAATAAGGTGAATGATTCTTACCCGAATTGGTGTCCGAACGCTAAGTATTTTATTGCGCCTACTGGTGGTCCCCGGGTTCCCTAAATTTTCATTCGGAGATTAAAACACGCTTTAAGTACCTAAAAATACCTCAACAAATCCAAAATTAGTATTAGAAACCCTTTTTGGCTAATTTTGGAATTCCGGCATAGCGGCTCTGCCGTGCTCCGACGACAGCACCGCCGCCCACAGCGTCGGTTTGCATCGGGTAAACTATTTTCAGCCAGTTTTGTACCATCCCTGCGAGAAAACACGTTAAGGGGCCTCAGTTAGCCAAAAAAAATCAAAAAACTTAAGCTTACCGGCAGCGGAGTTTTCTGGTGCGGCGGCTCTGCCGGCTCACCTTCGTGGTTAGGTGTTTTGCTTCGGTCAACTTGTAGATAAAAGAATAATGATTACAATGGTGGAAAAATTGCATGAAACGGGAATCAGGAAGGGCCTCATCGGAGGTGATTTTTGACTTTTCTCGCGGCGGCACCGCCGGGCTTTACTTGCAGTTTTCGGTTCATTCACCGGTCCTTTTACTCTGATTTGGCCATGAGGGTGTTCAAAATTGAATTCTGAGCGAATGAAAAAAAAAATTTACCTCTTTTGGTGGTCGACTCCCTTCCCGGCGACTGGCTTTCTTCTCTGGCTCATGGGGGAGGGGGGGGTCTGGCGGCTAGGGTTAGGGTTTTGTGTGAATAGAGGTTATTTATATCTGTCTCCTTTTAATTTGAGTCGTCCATCGCGTTTGATCTGAACCGTCCGATCGCGTTTAAATAAGAAGTAAATATGTACCGTTCATCACGATTTGATCTGGACCATCTGATCGCATTTAAATCTGAACTGTTTATCGCGATTTGATCTATGTCGTCTGATCGCATTTTAAAGGGAGAATGGATTCGGACTGTCGGTGCGCATGGGAACAAATTCGAATCGTCCGATCGTGGGCACGTAAATCGCTAGCGTGGCCTCCCGCGTGCCACCGTATCAGCATGTCTTGCTACGCGGCTCGCTCCGGTTTGTCGGAGCTGCTGATTAGGCGTCTTACATGAAACAATTTTCTTAAATTGCGTTTTGACACTCAGATTTGATTTTCCTTCAAAAATACCCCTAGAACCCAAATTTTCACCTCTTTTTCCCAAAATTGTTTTCAATTTCATCATCCACCCATTTTTCTTCATTTTTTTATTAAATAACAATTCAAAAATTAAAAAATCATATTTATACATCAATTAAAATTGATTTAGAGTATTACATATGGACCCCCATATATACCAATAAGCAAATAAAAAGAAAAAATTGTTATTTTTACTTGAATATAAAATTATGATGTTGAATTATTGTCTCTATATGTCGATTTTGAAAATCTCGCAACGGTAAGTATGCAATAAATGATTTTACTTATGATAAATGAATTCACTTAAATTAAGAGTTCTATTGTTTGTTTTTATAATTTTTACCAACCTTCAGTTTCTGTATGATATTTTTATTGCGTTAGTGTAACTCACCCCTTCATTAATTATTTCATATCAAAAGAATCAAGATTCAAATCCCGATCAACAAGAAGGTTGTAAATAATTTACTAACCAAAAATGCTCAATTATTTACTTTTCGTTTATTTCTTTTATTTTCGTTTGTTATTTTAGAAGTAACATTCTCATAATCCTATTAAATATTTTAAATTATTGTGTAAAAAATATCTTAATACATATTTCTTTCATTCCTTCTAAGGCGATGAAATGGAACTGATTCAATTGAACTTGGACCATCTAATATAATAATATTTACACATTGTGATGGATTGTTAAAAAAAAACATCATATAATCACCATGTGAACAACTCATTCAGCACCCAATCTATTTTCATATCTTGGGGACCGTTGACCCTAAACTTTTGACTAATAGTTCCTACTCCTAAGATTATTCTTCTCCAAAAGAACCCTAGAACCAACCATCACCATTCCGTGGTGAAACATCAAAATCTGGTTTACTAGCCATGGGAGCCATATGATTAGGCAGATACAAACATTAAAGGCAAATTTGGATCATTTTAGCAGCTCTAAGCTGATTGCAGAAGAGATGGTCTCCCCAAATGTTAATTCTTCAAAGGCCTTTTGGATTGCATATGGCATTCCTAGGCTGAAAGAATAACATGCTTATTTTGATGAAAAAGGAAGCGTGTTACATGTGTTAGCAAATGAACACCTAGGCTTAAGGAACACCATAATTATTATGCTAGGGGAAAAAAAATTCAAAGACAACCACTAAACTTCCAGATAAATCATATGAAAACATATTTTCATTATCTAAATTAACATATTAAATTACTAGCCTCAAGCAAAATTTAGCATGGCTGATTAAGATATAATGTGAAACAAACATACATGTACCAGATCCATTAATCTACCAAACAACAAAAACATGTGTCAAAACTCCTCTCATAAAATTGCATCAAAATTCAGACAAAAAAAAGTAAATAGAAATGGTATATCCTGCACGGAACTTCAGGATATGAAAAAAAATACATCCTCTAGGTGTTTGTTGCCCTAGTGTAGATCTGCTGACTAGCATGTGCTGATATCATCCTAATGGAACCTCTGGCCATCAAATCCTTGATTGCTCTGCGTGCAAGCGAGCCATTAATCTGCAAAGCACATTACAAAAAGAGACTTATTGTAACAACCCTGAAAATTTAAATAGAATATATGTATTAAAAATCTCAAATGCGGAAGCATAATAAAAATTTTAATTAATATCCTTTACACAATAACCAAAACGTACTCAAAATATGAAGGAACAAACTAACTAAAAGAGATACTCGAAATAAAAACTATAAATATAACTATAAAGTCTTTAGGCGTCCCCTTCGCCGTCTTCCTGTGGAACGGGTTCGGGAACAACGTCTTCCTGATCTTGAAATGGTTAAATAAAGGATGAGCTACATCAGCCCAGTAAAGACATCACATTATCTCACCGCCAGAGAAGTAAAGGAGAGTAAAAAACAAAAATGACCAATGGAGCATAATTTATAACGAACTCGTTTATTAACATAAAAACTTTTACTGTCCACTTACCTCGGTGAGATCCATGAAAACAACATATGAAAACAATAACCTTATAATATCATGAAATCATACACACTTTATAACATAACACATATCATACTTTTACATTTCAATCATCAGAAAACAGATTTCCTCTTTTACCAGTCTACTAGTATCCTTGGGGATCCATAGGGGGTTCCCTCTACACG